GTGTTGAGCCAAAAAACAAAAATTTGATAAAAATTCCCAAACCAGCGGAAAAATGCAAGTTTCTTCACTTTGATTATTTTGACGAGAGCCTGATTCCACCACGCTGCCTCACATATAAACTTTTTGCCACGTTTCTGCAGCCATAGATGATTACATTCTATTATTGTTCAAACAAAAACACACTGACACCAGCACATCGCTGCTGAATAGAAGTGGTTTACTTTATTCTTCACTCGTTTACCCGTCAGTTATTTACTGATACTTTGTATATTTAGAGTTGTTTGTGGTAATCTATTTATATTGTTTGAAAAATCGCACATTCACACTGGTATCAAATGAAGCCAAGAATGTGAAAAATCGCACATTCACACTGGTATCAAATGAAGCCAAGAATGACGCAACAAATCAAGTCACCTTCCTGTCGCAGTACCCGACTACAATTCCTCCACACAATCTTGCTGTTTCTTATAAAACTAGTTTTAGTAAAGTATGAGCAGATATTCTTTACAACTTCACTTGTCATTTATCAGGAGATCGTAATTGTACGTGGGCTAAAGTGTGGACGGCTCGAGTAACCTAGATCGCGAGATCAGAAACCAAAGGTTCTATTTCTATCTGCCCTGTACAAATCGTAAGATTATTAGGAGTCGTTATCTAGTAGAGCACATTGAAATGTCTTAACGAGCAATATTAGACAACGCTTACCTTGCTTAATTATTTCACAAATGATGCCTGATTCAAATCTAATTTTCATGAAAACTGCTCAACCAGGTTTTTATATTTAACACTAACTTTTCTGGTGATGTAATTTTCGAATGTTTGACTCCGCCACCCCCCCCTCCTCCCCAAACGCCACCGAATTTTAAAAGATCTGCAGTTGGCCTGCTGTTCAAATGAACGAGGGCCAAAAATTTCAGTTCTGTTTATATTGCAGTTTATTAGATCTGTGTTATTCATTACGTGAGCTCGAAGTATAATATTGTGTCAAATTTTAAAATCTAAATTAATAATGTAAAAAGCAAGAAAAGATACA